CACCTGGTTCATTCGCAAGGTGTCAGCACCTTTCCTGCTCACTTCAGCAACATGAAGCAAAGGTCCAAAGTCCTCCTAAGAGGAGGAGATTTTGTAAGGCAATTACTCCACTCCTGCTTTGTTGTCCTTCGGACCTCCTGGTTGTCTAGGAATAGGCATCTCACAGGCATGCTGCTGTTTGTACTAGATTTAGCATATACACATAAGTTGCAGTTTTATTCCTTGGACACAGGGAGCCATCTCTGTGTAATCTATCTCTTCATGATCTCTTCATGATGGTGTGGTGAGCAGTCTGCCCAAGTAGAGGCAGATGTTTCATCCTCTGTCCTCAAAGGAAAACTTCTTGTGTATCTCACACGGAGAAAGAACACCACTGGCAGTGTTGGCTCAGTGACTGGTATTCTGGATGCAAGGTCCTCGTATTTACAGGGCTTGGAAAAGAAGGTGGCCATGGCTATGGGATTGTGAGTTTCCCATGGTGACCAAAACATGATAGATGGGCACTGGGACCCATGGCACTTTCTGTGAGATAGTTGCAGGAATGTACCAAGAGGTTTGAGTAAGGGGGATTCTCAACTACCCTGCAGATGCCTGGAGTGGAGCCATCCAGGTGCCTGATAGTAGCAGAGAGGGGGCAAAGCATACTGACACTCCACAGACAGCTAAAGAGCATGCCATTATTAAAACCGTTGAGTTTCAAGAGTTGCGTCCAGCTGTCCTTTCCCAGGAGGTGGCATCTCTTCTGCCCTGATCCCCAAAGGACAGGAGTGGGGAGGAGAGAACCTGATGTCCCCCTCTGGGTGGGGTTTGCTATCCTCAGCCTGTTTTCTCCCTTACCACAGAATGGGGAGTTGAAGGTGAAGCCAGGTCCTCCATGGATATAAATCATGCCTCTTCATAAGTAGTTTGGGCAAACTCCATTTCTGCAATCTCTGAAATAGAGATCTTGAAAAGAGGGCTTAGGTACAGAGGAAAAGCTATGCAGGTGGCTGTCCCCCATCAATTAACCCCTGTGCACCTCTAGCAACATGGAAGTGTTCATATTGTAACATTAGGTGAATAGGAAAGGGAGATGCTTGTTTCCTGTACAGTGATTAAACTACAAATGATGTGCCAAGAAAATGTACAGACTGTTGTTGAACAAAGAGCTAAGCCAGTTGTACTCATATTTCCGTTGATGGCTTTCTGTACCTATGCTGACATTGTACCAGGTGATCCCACTGTGTCCCTTTTTCCTGGTTGTTTCCAGTTTTTTGCTTTCATGTCTTGTATAGATGCAGGAGGTAGAACCAACTGTTAAGCTTTAAGCTGTTCAGTGGACTAATGGGGGCAGGTGTAACCTCTCATCTAATTCATGGATTTCCTTTGGCTGATACCATTTCTAGAAGGCCTATAGTGCAGATGACACATTTAAAGAATTGATCGTTGGTTCTGTGAATTTGATTCATTCAGTCAAGCTTATTTAAATTTGAATACCCTGGGGAGGATGGAGACCTCCAGCCTTTCTTGGCACTAGTTCCATGTCTGAGCACCCTTGGTGGCAGTCTTTTCCTTTTGCCTAATTGGCAGTTGTCCATGTTTCCAGCATGAGTCTGATGCTTCTCATCCTTCTACCACTGAGCACCTATGTGAAAAGCCAGGCTTCATCTCCCATGCTCCCAGTAGGCAGCCGTAGTCAACAATCAAATTCTCCCTGAGCCTTCTTAGAGCTAACCAAAGGTTGTTCCCTGACGCTGCCCTGGGATGCCATGCATCCTTTATCCCTCTTCTGCCCTGAGAGCATGGGATGGCCCATGACATATAAAATGTAGAAGTGATGAACCCTGCTGTTCATTTCAGCTTTGCCTATCCAGGTCAGGAACAAGCCTCAGAAATGACCTACGGTTTTAGGTGTATTTCCAAGCTGCTACTCTGTTTTTGAGCTTGTATTGTGCTACTGGTCATATGTTCTTTTACAAATAGGCTGTTCTTCAACTAGTCCCATGCAGTTCCTGGTATTGCCTTCCCAAAAACATTACAGAATCTAATCTCCGAATTTTCATCTTGCTCTGTCCTTTAGTACAACCTAAGAATAATATCAGAGCCTGTATTAGCTTGATGCATTACTTACTATGTCCTTTTTCCAGCAAGGGGATGTAGATTGTATGGCAGATGTTAGGAATCTTTTCTGGTTAGCTGAATGGGCAACATCAACAATATGAGGGCTGCTTGAAAGTAATGCCTCCTGTTTTATTCTGTTGGCCCATGATGCCAGAGGCAGATGTTGCTGGTGTGGCAGTAGAGGTTGAACCTTCCCCCAGTATTCCGTTACACTTTGTTGCTGTGTGACAGATGGCAGCGGAAGGGTGGTCTGAAAAGATGATGTTGACATTAAAGTGAATGAAGCAAAGGTGTGGAAATGATTCTACCTGCTTGAATTTGAAAATAACTATAAACAAGTGACTTGCCCTACTTGTCCTACGAGGCAAGAGCATTGACTTTATTATTTGTGATTCAGACTTGAAAGAAAAGATGTGTTAGACCATACTGTGTGAAAGGAGAAGGATTTGTCAGTGAGGGAGGAAGGAAAAGATACAATTTAATTATGGTGGATTGGTCTACTAGCATGACCTCAGCAGGTCTTAAAGGCATGTGCAAGGACTCTTGCTTTCACATGTCTGGAAGCAGATAGTAGTAGCAAAATCATCGAAGTCAATGCTGAGAAACATCATGTATCAGAAAAGATTAAAAAATAATAACAGAAGTCCAACTACAGAGATGTTTGCAGCTGTGAACACAATAATGACTAACCAGAGAAAAATTTTTCTTACTATCAAAGACAAATTCCAAGAAGCAGAATGCCTTGATGTCAACCCAAGGGACAAGTGAATGCAAGTATGAGAAAAATAAGAATAACAAAGGAAGGGGGCAGTAGAAAGAGTTTTCACTGCTGCCAGAATCAATTTGCAAGTGTTTCTGCAGTTCACCTCTTGGAGAGGAAAATGAAGTTTTTGTGTAAGATTTCCTATGAGAGTGGCCCCATTGATTCTCTGCCTTTGCTCTTGACTAGTTGTTCCTGCACTTTGATTCTGGAACTTGTGTAAGGAAGGAGTCCATGTTTCTGGTTTGAGATTATAGCTGCTCCATAGAAGATAGCGAGCACTCTGAACACCCAAAGTTCAGACAGAGCTTTTGGTAAGGTGTTCTGTGGGTGTCATTCCAGTTAAGCAATGATATCTCAGCTCTTGAATCGACAGGGGAATGCAAGAAGGAAAAGAGCTATCTGAGCATTTGAATCTTACCATCTGAGACATTCACACAATAATTTTTTGTTCTAGCAAGGCTGCTGTTGTGACATTCAACAGCCTAGTTCTCAAAATACTGCCCAACAGCCTACAGCAAACTGCAGAACTATAGAAAAGAGTAATAGCAAAATATGTAGGACATCACAGAAAGAAAGCAGAAGATTCTGATTACAGCATATGTTTTTATTAGCAAAAGCATGTTTGGTGAAATTTCCAGACGATTCTAGAAATTGGAAGAATCCAGAAGGAAGCTAATCCCCTCTCCCTTTAATTCACTTGCCTCATCCCTCATTCTCTACATTTCTCGTGCATTCTCAGATGACCTGTCTTTTGAAAAATTTCTTCCCAGCCCTAAATTTGGGATCAGTTTACCCTTTACAAGAGAAAGCCAAACCAAATATTATACAGAAGATGAGATAAACAGGATGAAAGATAGAATAAGCACTCAAAGGGAATGGAAGCAGAAAATGTGAAGTCACTGGATTTTAATACATTTGTGATGTCCAGGTGGTGCAATTTTACTGAATATTAGCAAGCTAGTAATTTTGCATTTAAGGAAGACTTTAAAGAAAATGGAATTTTGGCACCTGTGAATTTCTTCATCTTTCAGATACGATGTCAGATTTGAGAATTCATTTATGGGAAAAAATAATAGCAGACAAGAAGGTAAATGGTACGTACTAGCACCAGTGGAGAATAGATTAATTCTGTCTTTCTTTGATAAATAATTGGTTTTCTAGACAAGGAACATACAGAAGATAATTCTAAACTTCAGCAAAGTATTTGACATGAGAAATGGTTAGTTGAGTGTAGAAGAGAAAGATATTAATAAAGGAATCATAAATGGGGAAGAGAATTGGCTGATGCAGACATTACTGCCTACACGCTCTACTGAAATAGAAAGATGGACTTAAAGGAGGTTATGAGGAGTTTCCTGAGCCTAGCCTTTTGGTGAATGTTTGCAGCAGAGACCTGGACACAGATGGTAGGAGTCTGCTAACAAAATGTGCTGAAACCACACAGAGAAGGTACTGTCGTTGCAAATGAAGATCAAAATATCATTCAGTAACAGTAAGAACTTGAGGATTTAACTATGAAGACAGAAAGAATGACTGTAGTAGACTTCTGAGATTAGCAGTAGGACTTCTGTAAGATGAGAATACAAATGAGAAGCAAGAGGGTAGTGACCCCATTCTGTACAAGAACTTCCATGTCACATTTTCTTTGAGTGGCCTCTGGTCTTTACAAATGTAGCAAATACTTTTGCTGCAGCATTTGGGTAGGAGTGAAGAGTGGAGGAGAAAGTCTGGGTTGCAAATGTGGATACGTGCTTGACTGAATGGAAGGTGAGGAGAGGATGAGTACAGTGAATGCAGATAAGAGAAGGATGGATAAATGGGTGGTGAACAAGTGCACATTCTGGGAGGCAGTTAGGAATGGACAGTGCGTGAAGTATTATTGCCAGACGATAAAAGAGGCCAAAATAGATGGATTAATATCTGTATTCATATTGATATATAGGAGTTTAAATATCTATATCACTATAGTTGTCTATATAACTGTACAGATAAAGAAAATATCAACAAGAACACAGAGTTATTGGCCTGTTCCATGGTATCTCCCTTGGAAACTCAGCCTGGGCACCACATTGAAGGAGCCAACCTGGCATCCTGCCCAGGAGGAGGTGCTGACAAAGGCTGTGTCCATTTCCCACAGCTGCGTGGTGGACGAGATGGACTTCTCGGGCATGGAGCTGGATGAAGCGCTGCGGAAATTCCAGGCTCACATCCGTGTGCAGGGGGAGGCACAGAAGGTCGAGCGGCTAATTGAGGCTTTCAGGTAAGAAAGAGAGCCCTGTGGCCACACTGCTGCAACCAGCTGGAAGCAGAGCACACCCAAGGCAGAAAACATGCAGCAGGAATGGAATGACTGACCAGGGACCCCCCTTCTAAAAAAACTGGTTGTGGAAGTCCTCTGTTCCACTGCCACCACAGAGCCACATCTTTGATGGATGTTCAGTGGCACGAAGGGCACAAAGGGTCAGAGTGAGTCCAGCCATATTTGCCAGCAAGGGACTCCTTGTTCACTGGTGACTGGCAGGAAAAGCAGCACTGGGGCTTGCAAGGGTTCTGGGTTGTTCCCTCGTTGCATCCAGAGGAATCTTTAGCATTCCTGACTGGAGTAGATACCAATATTACCACTGCATAGTGACCCCAGATTGGTTAGTCTGTCTACTGTCATTTGCTCTTTTGGCTTCTGAGGACAAGAAAGCTGAAGTTTTAGTGGCCAGTTTCAGCTGTTGGTGGGTAAATTGGCCTTCAGAATTCTAGCAATTCCTTCTCTTTTGTGTGAGAGCTGGAGTGGAAGGAGAAATTTGATCCATGCATGAGGAAGTCATTGCTACACTTGAGCAGAGGACTCCAATATTCTATGTTAAGTATGTGCACCCCTCCTGCTGCAGCCAGAGGTACTGCATGTGTAATCCAGATGTGGTCCAGCAGTTTCACAACCCAGACACCATCTTCATCTTGGCCTTTGCAATCATCCTCCTCAACACGGACATGTACAGCCCCAACATCAAGCCTGACAGGAAGATGATGCTAGAGGACTTCATTCGCAATCTGAGAGGTGAGCATCCCACTTAGCTTTTTTTTTTTTTTTTTTTTTTTTTGCCCTCCTGCTTCTCTAAATCCTGCCCAGGTGAAGGCAGCAAAAATCTAGCAAAGCTGCCTTCCTCCAGGACTTCTGTTAGTCTCTGTAAGCCAGATTTGGAGGAGAGTGCTGTGAAATGTCCTCTACTTTGCTGGGAAAGGGGAAGATCTCTGCTTTGTTCTCTGCAGAAAGCTGCCCAGCCTCTTCACAAACTAACCATTTTTCTTGAGCGATGGTTTCATCTTTTAATGGTTTTCACTGTTTGGTCGTCCATCATATTACATTTTTCTGTTGTTCATCTCCATCCTTCCTAAACCCCGTTCGGTTATGTTAAACAAGCCCTTTCCCTCCTTGTTGCTTTAAATATACAAGCAAATTTTTCTTCTACTCAGTCTAAATCTTCTTTTTTTTAATTGCTTGCAATTGCTTGCAGTAATTGTAAGCCTGACAGAGTTCATGCATGTATTACCTCTTAGCAATTTCTAATACATCAGTTCCCCAAATCAATTTTCTTCTACTTTTCAAGGTCCTTCCTTATCTCAGTAATAGGTTGTTAAAAGCATTTCTTCAGATGTGGTCACAACATACTCCTATGGAGAATCACCGCCTCCTCCTCATTTTCAGATGTGCTAATGCAGCTTAGTATTGTTTTGCCTTTTTGACACGATGTCTAGACAAAGTCCAGTTTCCCAGCCATGCTCACTCCTAGGTCAGTCATTTTCCGAGTGTTTCTTATTGCACATCTGCAATTCAGGTTAAGTTCTTTCAGAGTTTTCCCAGTGTAAATCTTTGAACTGCTGTGCACTGCTGTAACTTGTATTCTTGTCCTTATGACTGTTCAGACAGTGTTGTCCCAGCCTCTTACACCTTCCCCATCCACTTCAGAGTGCAATAATGTGACAGCGAGACCCTCTTTCAAGTTATTTTCTACCATCAACCCCTTTGGTATCATGGCAGATTGAACTAACTCAAAAGGTTTTCTTTCTTTCCTTTTTATTTATTAATGTTAATTTTCACCATCAATTCACATCACGATGAATTCAGCCAGCATGAGGACCAAGCTGCAGACAAGGGGAGACAGTTCATTTCAGACTCACCTTCAGCCCAACACGCGGCCCAGGAGCTTCGCTGGCCTGTGTTTAAAAAAAGACACAGAGTATTCAGGCAATGTTTGCAAGGTCATGAAGAAGGGAGCCAGAAGAGGACAATGCCTCTCCATTCCTAGGCAATTCCCCAGCAGCAGCATTGTTAGCCTCAGACCAGGGAGCTGGAGGGAAGCAGAGAAAACCAATGTAACATGATTGAAGGAATTCAGTGTAGGAGAAAGGGCTGGCAATTTGATTTGTGGTGTTTGGGTGAGGGGAGGGGGAAGGAGAACTTTTCTGCCAGGCTCTTCAAGAGTCAAATAGCAAAATTTGGAAAATTGGCTAAGCAAATACAAACAAGGAAGGGGACAGACCCCAAACAGAGAAATCACAGATAGAATAGCAAGGAAGTATTATGCGTAAGAGACATCGCAGAAGAAAATGTTGAAGGTTACCAAGTAAATAGGAGATCTGAGGCTTGCATTGGCAGGAGGAGCAGCTGGATCGCATTGCAGATATCCACTACGCCTAGCACTTCTAATAATATGAGATCAATGCAGGGGTTGCTACTGAATGGCCCAAGGAATATGAATGTGAAATTGTGGCTATAAAACCTTAGGGAACATATGGAAAGAAGCCACCATGCAGAGCAATGGAATAATGAAATCTTCAGCATTGGTCTTAGATGCGACTGTATCTCTGCTGCTGGTGCATTCTGTGTGCTAGACCAAGAAAAAAAACACTCTAAAACAACAAAAAAAATCTCTTTCCTTTCTGTCTGCTCAACATTGCACTGAGGTAGTAGCTGCCTGTCAGGGATGACAGTTCTTTCCTTTTTTCTCTGCCTAGTCTGCTCAACATTTTCTGTGTTTTGCAGGAGTGGATGATGGTGCTGACATCCCACGGGAGCTGGTGGTAGGGATCTACGAGAGGATCCAGCAGAAAGAACTAAAATCCAATGAGGATCATGTGACATACGTCACCAAGGTGGAGAAGTCCATAGTTGGAATGAAAACGGTGAGCACCCATAACCCTGCTGGCACCTACTCACCCTTTTCACACCCATCTCCATCACTGTCCCCCTCTCTAATCCTCTTCTTTCATAATGCTTCCCTTGCTTGCATTTTTCTCCAAACACCTTCTCACTTGCTATCTCTTTGTTTCTTAATTCTTTGGAATTTACTTGGCCAGAGTTTGCTTTATCCAGTGCAATAGTACCTCTCATTGGAGGTTCTGCTTGCCAATGCAGATCCTGCCTGCCAATACTTCAGTGATAGCTCTGCAGCTCTGAATTTTTAGGCCTTTTGAGGTTGTAGGATGTGAAAAGCAAAAGTTATAGGGAAAGTTACAAGACCCTCAAATGCAGACACTGCCCAGGGCAGTCCAGTGGGCTGAGAAGTTACTCAGTGACTTGTAGACAAAGGTATATAAGATCGGATGTGAACAAGTGGCTTGCCTACAGACTGTTCTACTCCCCTGATCTATCCAAGTCATGAAGGCTCTCTCTGTTATGGCACCAGCAGGATGATTGATGGCGAGGAGTGGTTGTGAGGAAATAAATAGAGTAGGCAGAATGGGCAGAACCATCTTGTGCCACTGTCACCTGGCAGGGTTGTGTAAGTTAAGAGTGCTGGTGAACCTTCCTGGCACCTTCTCATAACCCCCACACTCTCTTGTGGATCTTCTGCAGGTTCTCTCTGTGCCCCATCGCCGATTGGTCTGCTGCAGCCGCTTGTATGAAGTGACTGATGTGAACAAGGTGCAGAAGCAGGCAGCTCACCAGAGGGAAGTTTTTCTCTTCAATGACCTGCTAGTGGTGAGTGTGCTTTGGCATTTAGGCACTGCAGTGACAAAACTAGTCTGAGAATCTGTAAAGAAATATAAAAGCAGTCCACAACATCGATTTCCCCCATCCTAGGGACAGACCATCCTCCTGATCCATCAACATGCAAGACACAGCTTTGGATCCTTCCCTGTTAACAACATACCAAACCTAAAATTCCTCTGACCCCTGAAAAGACAAACAAAGACAAAAGTTGTGTCCCACAGCCAAGTAATGTCATTGTTATCTCTCATTGCTTTGCTACCAGGGAAGTTCATTTTGTGAGAGTGAAGTACATTTATTTGGCTGTTTGTATTATAGTAGGCAGAGCACTCCCATGTACTTTAAAAGTTTCCTGCCAGGTACATAAAACCACTACCTTTTACTATTGCAGAGGCTACAGAAAAGTAGGTGCTACCTACCGGAGCCTGAAGTGCATACAATACTTTAAAAAGTGTCCTGCTCAAGGGATCTTGCAGCTGAGTTCATGCAGTTACAAGGGTGAACACAGGTTTGCTGAGAAAAGGAAGATGCGGCCAAGAAGGATATTCTGCTTTAGGCAAAAAATGCCTGAGTTTAATGGCAAAAGGAAACTGTGGATGTTGCAAAAGTAAGGCCAAAGCCAAAGCATTTTGTCCCAGAGAAGAGAACTTTCCTTGCCTATTCCTCTGCAACCATTTGTGAACCTGCGGAGGTCTATTCCTTCCTAGCCCTCCATTCCTTGTGATAAATTAGATCTATGAAGATTATTACTGAGGGAGCAAGGGCAGCACAGCATGCACACGTACTCTGGTTCCCAGACCTAGGATATTTAGTGGAAAGAATTACCCCTGAAAAGTCAGAAATATGAGCATCCAAAAATCATCCCTAGTATTCCTGGGGAAGAGAACCTGAGGGGGCCCATGGCTACACATACAGAATTTCAAAGTGCTGCAAGTACAGCGTGCCAGGCAGTTTTCTGGGCTAAGAGTCTGTCAGTCACCAAGTTTTCATCCCATGTACAATTAACAAAGCTTGTAAAAATCTTTTTCTTTTGTGCTTTGAGTAGTTTGTATTGTTCTTGCTTCCCTGTTCACCAGCAACCTACCCAGTGATGTGTCTGTTCCTCTAACAGATCCTCAAGCTTTGCCCCAAGAAGAAAAGCTCCTCGACCTACACATTTTGCAAGTCTGTTGGCCTGCTGGGCATGCAGTTCCATCTCTTTGAGAATGAATGTAAGTCTGATTCTCCGTGGTTGCCTGAAGGGGTTTGGCGTGGAAAAAGAGAAGAAAGGAGGAGGCTGCATAGCCCAGTGAGATCTTTCATCAGAGTAGGGATTCTATCAGGGTTAAAATGAGATGGGAGAAAAAAACAGACCTGGTACTGAGGACATTGCTGTGCAAGTACAGTGTGATGAGAAGAGGCTTCTGATCTCTCTCTTGGTCTAAACATGGGCAGAAAGGCTGACCTTAAGTTCACTGAAGTGAGTTTACTTGTCAAGGTGACAGAGAGGGCACTCATCTGGAGGAATGAGGTAACTGATCCTAAGGTGCACGTCACTTAGCTCTCAGGAGCCAACAGTAGGGGAACCTCACTGACAAAACTGCTGCTGTTGCTTTTAGCCCCTCTCCACTTGCATCCAAAATCACAACACCCACCTCTACCTTTGACACTGATAAAAACCCAGGTGCTGCTGCTGCCGCCTTCCTGCAGTATGATGTGCTGTGCTGAGATTCCTGAGATTGAAGCAGAACCCTTGGAACAGCACCCACCAAAGCATGGCGAGAGGCCAGCCCTAGTCAGCCTGACCTCGATGGTCTGGGAATAGAGCCATGATGTGTCATGATTGAAGCTGGTTGTGTGGTGGAGGAATTCCAGAAACAGGCAGGCTTCCTGCTGGCAAAGGCAAAGGGGATGCACAGTGGTCTCAGGCAAGTGTGGTTTATGTCTACTGAGGGTTTTGTGAGCACCAGCAGAATATGATGCAAGGAAGGAACACTGTAGCAGTACTGAGGCTACACTGAGTTCCTTACATCCTTGCTCTGCCCTATGGACAGCGTGGGTCATCATCTCAATTTCCTACCCTCCATAGCACACAGTGCTTTTCACATTTCTGAATGTACAAAAAAGCCATTTATAGCTCTGCATTCCCAGGACACATTGTTGGAGCTGGGATCTACTTTCAGGGGTATGATGATTATCCTGGAGTGTTGGCAAAGGCTTCCTTTTATGTATACTCCGCAGAGACAGAAAAGCAGATGCCTGAAAGAACTTGTGATCTTAACAAATGAGACAAGACACGGGGTGGGGAAAGGGAACTAGAACACAAACAGAGCGAGCTAAGGGCTGATAGGAAACAGTGGGTTGGTCTTTGACTTGATTGGTAAAGATTGCTAATGAAGAGTGTGGAGAAGGCAGGCATACAAGAACAGTAGAGAATAGAAAGCATGACAGGTGAAGAAAGAAACTAAATGTAGACAAAGGAGAAGGGGAAGGAGAAAAGAGACAGAAACCATTTTTCAATGACCAAAAGACAGAGAAAGTCCAGTCACAAGCTTAAGAAGTTCTCTGCATACCTTTGTTCTCCAGCTTACGTTGGCTGAATCTGCAGCCACCTCCTCCATGCACACATCCTGATCTTTAAATCACAAAGCCTTCTGTTGTGCTCTTTTCACTCTTGGGGCATTTCTTTTCATTTTCATTTCTGACAGTGTTTTGCCTTTTGGGGACTACTAAGTGGAGACCTGCAAACCCACACCCTTATCTTTACCGCACTCTCTGCATAGCATGATGAGCTCCCTACTCATGCTGTGCTGACACTGCAGCTATGTTCCCTGCTGGTGGAAGTAGAGACTGGAGAGAAGTCCTGTATCTGAGGATATTAATGACTCTGAGTCCAGGAGCCAACTTCTCAGGCTGCAACTCCCAAAGGAGAAAAAGTATCGTTGGCATCATATATACTGTTAACTCCTCTGCAGATTCAGGAGGGCTTTATAGTCTCATCTCTGTGCTCAGATTCTTAGCGTTGACATTACATTAACTGTAATGAAGATCTAGAGGTTTTTGACTATGGCACCACTATGGTAGTGGTGGTAACTTGCCTTGCTGCTGGACCTTGGCCGTTCTGTTTCCTTGGAGTGCTGCAATGCTGCAGATCCTCACAATTTGCAGTGTGACAAACTCTTAAGTTCCTCTGGACTGAAATTGTCTGTCCTGGGAAAACAGGAAAGCAGACTTCTCCAGCAAGAAACCCTAATGCCTCTCTATTATTTTGACACATCTTATTCACAGATTACCCCCATGGCATCACACTGGTGACTCCAGTTTCGGGCTCAGAAAAGAAACAGGTACTGCACTTCTGTGCTCTGGGAGCCGAGGAAATGCAGAAATTTGTGGAAGATCTGAAAGAGTCAATAGCAGAAGTGACAGAGCTGGAGCAGATACGTATTGAATGTAAGGACCTCTAACGCAATTCAGACTCTGATGCCATCATACTCCATGTGTATGCAAGGGAGAAAATGTAAAAGCAGTGGGTTCTTCAGGAAGAGTGACAAAGAGAATGAGTTGTAGAAGTCTTCCCAGGACTGTTCCTCTGTTCACTAACAGAGCAAAAAGCAGCCAGGTTTTGTGAGCACTCAGCAGCAGGAGAAAGGGAAGAACTATTTATGGTCCTTGTCAATTAGAGTGTATGAGACAGTAGACTGAAGTAGAGAAGCTTAGACTATCAGACCGAGAAGACTTCTCCATCTCATACACTCTGAGTATGCAAATACTATCTGTAGATATCTGGGAAGTACAGGGTAGATTATAGTCTTAGCAGAATTGTCCTGTCACTCCAGGGACATGTGGGAGAAAAGCAGTCTGTACCATGCCATTCTGGGGCCTGTCTTACACAGAGTAAGGTCCAAGTAGACTTTAATGATGTTGCCATGTTTAAACTAACAAGCCCAAGTAGCTCAGCATCAGTGGTACCCCTTTATGCAGCAGAAACCTATTCTTCATAAATGCAAGTCATACACAGAGGCCTTATGTAAGGTCCTTCATATATCAAATCCTCTCCAGTTTTTGTTTCTCTCTTAGCTGTTCCTCTCTCCTTCCTTTCTTGACAGACTCTTGTCATATTCTTACATTAATTCTTGCTGACTTCCCACTTTAGTTTCAGTATACCCTGGTTCTTCCCTTCATCCCTCTTCTCACTCACTGCCACACATCTGTCTTGCAGGGGAGCTGGAGAAGCAGCAAGGGGCAAAGACTCTCTCGCTACGGAGCAACGGAGCCCAGATAGAACCACAGTCCAAGCAGAGCTCACCAACAGGTAAAGAGTCAGCTAACTTCTCTTGAGCACGGCCCACTTTTCTTCCTCTAAAACTAATGCAACACAGTAACGGCACTATATATTTCCTCTGGAGTCTTTTCTGCCACTTCTGCAACGCCAGCTCCTTTGTAGGAGCTTTGTGTTCTGAGTTTTGTAGAAGCTTTATGTTTTGTGCCAGCCAAAAACAAGTGCATTGATGGGTGGCTACCAACTCACTTCAACATCAAGACCTAACAATAGGACCCCAAAAGGGTTTCCCCTATACCACCATGCAACTGATGGATTGAAAGAGGAATTCAATTTATCTTGAGTCCTATTGGGACCTCTTCCTAGAGCTTTCCAGTCCACCCTACATGGGCCAGCTCTTGACTTGAGGAACAGACCTCATGAGTGAGATGTTTTCTTTTATTTTAAAGGCAAGAAGGATTTGGGGGAGAAGGTCTCAGACAGCACAGTGGAGGTAAGTAGAGTGCGGAGCAGCTGAGGTAAGTAATTCTCTCTCACTTCAGCTCTTCTCACATTCTCTGTTGTTTCTTTTCTCAGGTATTAATCAATGCCTCCCCAGCCAGACTGACAATTTTACCAATTTCCAGAGATACAATTAAAAGTTACTGCTAGGACGGGTAATACAACTTTCAAATCCAAACTAAACTTCAAAGCATTTTCAATCCGTTTTTATAACTGTAACATCCCTCATGGACCAAGCTCCCGAACGCTGTAGACTAACCCACCCCACTGCTTATGGGGAGACTGAGAACCCCACTAAAGACTTCCCTGACATGCTAACTCCATGCAGCATCACATGCAAATTCCCCTGCAGCCCAGCTTTCCTGCATAATCTCTGCAGCTGTGTCTCCATCCCTTGAAGGGGATTAAGCATGGCCTTTTTATATCAGAGACTTTTCCCAGAGCTTCACCTTCCTAGATAGGGAGCTTGGCTGTCCTTATGCTTCTATCTTTGCAGGGATGTCTAGCACCCATGGGTTGCCTGTTTCTTCACAGACACCCATGCTCACGCTGCCTGTAAGAAAACAGAAAAATGCTGTCTTCACTCTGAAAATCTTATTTACTACTTCCTACATTTTCCATGTCTGGAATACCTCAATTTTCCTGAATTTGCCCTTTTCCAGGGCACTTCTTTCCCTTCTTGTCGTAGTATATGTGTTTGAGGAGTTCAGCTTCTCTGTGGGGAGTGGGTGTCACTGATGTTCCTTGAAAAACACCCATTTCCCTGCAGACACCCACTATCTGGATAAGGTGCCTCTCACAGCCAACTTCCAATTTCTTTTGGGCATTGTGTTTTCTTGTGGAGAATGACTTCCATGTATTTTAATGTCACTAGCACTTCATGGCCCAACAACAAGTTTTTCCAAAGGTATATTTCACTGCCTGAATAAATACTGACACAGTCCTGCTGCATTCTGGGCCTGAACAACCTCCATGCTTGGGTAGGGACAAACAGTTCATCCTTGTTCCAGCATGGTGGGAAGCTTGGTCATTCCACAGCTCCTCCTCCATGGCTGCTTGCTCTGCTGTCTAACATACAGACCATCAGGGCACCCCCATTGCCCAGTCTGCCCATCTGTACCCCTGCCTTGCTGGAAGTGCTGTGCCAGCCACCAAGCAGTAGTATCCTACCCAGGATTTGTCATTTGACTGACATTCAACAGCAACCTTGCTGTGCTCTGGTGACTCCATCAGCCCATGTCCTTGCCAGGAGGAACTATGACTTCAGTCACCATCCAGGAAGCATCATTTTACTGCTGTGCTTCCCCCTCAATGATCTCTAGTCCAGACCAGCTCCCTTTTTAAGCTGGTCTCAGTGAACTCTCTTTTTTGAGTGACTCTATTGTCAGCATCTCTCTGTGGGGACCCTGATGACCTCCTCCTTCCACCCCCCCCTTCCCATTGCCCACATAATACTCTGCCAGCAGAGGAGCATTTCCATTTCTTTGAGATTATCTAATCTGCTGCCATTTCATCATGAATTTCTTTTATCATTGTATGAGCTAGACGGGCATTTTTTTTTTTCTTTTTTCTTTTTTGAAAATCATTTCCTTTCACTGACAAACCATCAAATGGATCAGAGGGAGCTGCCTTTTGCTAGAGTATGTCAGATTTCTGCTTTTTTCCTTTGTAAACAGATTAGCCAGTCATGTGGTGTACCTTCATACTCAGAAAGGCAGGGAGCTGGGAAAGGCTCGAGTCTCTCTCTCTATCTCAGATTCAGCTACCATCATTTTTGCAGAAATGTACAACCTCGATTATCTGAAACCTTGCTACCCAGTTGTCCCTTTTGCCCCCTTGTTTTGCTGCTGGGGGCAAAGGCATGACCGCTGAGGTCTATTCATTATTACAAGAATTTATGGATGCCTCCACTCATTGAGTTGATTTGCGTTCCCTATGCTGTTTGGATAATCAAAGTTGCACTGCATTTGGGAACACCAGCCCTGCCGCCTTTGATGCAATGGAAAGGACAGAGGCACAAAGGCCTAGATAGGATGATGGGGCTGCTGGGAGAGAGGGATGCAGCCAGGGCTTGTGCCTGTTCTGTTTTTTCAAGAGGGGAGGGTTCGATGCATGTGAGGCTGACTGGTGGTGGGGGTTCAGGGCAGCCAGTAGCAGCAGATGGGAAAAGTCTTGTAACATTTAATGCTTCTTTGACTGTTTCTAAAATAGGTGTCAATTCACAACAGGCTTCAAACGTACCAGCACAACTCCGCCCTGGGGCCCGAGAGTGGAATGCAGCCCAGCATGCGTCTTAACATGCCACGGGAGCGGCTGGAGACAGCACTGGTGCCCTCGCACCCCGCCTCGGCGGGGACACTTGTACAGTGCCAGCAGATTGTCAAAGTCATTGTCTTGGACAAGCCGTGCCTCGCTCGAATGGAGCCGGCCCTCAACCAGACTCTGACACGCTACGTCACCTCTGATTCCTGCACCTCCACCCCCTGGCGCGGTGTGGGCAGTGGGCTCCCCGGGACCCCCATGAAGCTGGTCCATCAGCCTCCCCTGCCACCTCCACCTCCTCCCTACAACCACCCCCACCAGTATTGCCCCCCCAGCTCCCTGCTTCAGAGGCGCAGGTACTCCAGTGGCTCGCGGAGCCTCGTGTAGCCACACCACCAGCACCAGAACAGCACAGACTCCCCCGCTTCCCAGCCCCACCGCCTCCCTGGGACCCTTTCTGCCTACAGAGATCTAGTTTGTGATTTATTTTTTAGTAAAAGAAGAAGAAAAGAGAAAAAAAAAAAGAGCTAACTCTTGCCCTATCTCCCCTCAAGATGATGCTAATCACGAAGAGCCATCTATAGAACCTGCCAACCTACACGCTTACATACCCTTACATCCTGCTGGCCCTGCAGGCCTCCTGTGCTCATGCCATCCCCATGTAGCACTTTGCTGCCCTGTTCCTGAGAGGCTTGATGACCTGCTGCTTTCTAGGCACTGTGTCTTCCGTTTGCTACTCCTTGATCTTCTTCCCTGCCTTGCATTTACCTGGCCATAGGTTTATACCCACCCTGAAACTTCGCCAGCCTCAGAGAGAAACTGACTCACCCGTGCCAAGGAAAGATGCTGGGGCACTCCCAGGGGTGGAGTTTTCCCTGCCACCACTGCTGCTGCCTGCTAAGCTGGAGCTGAGAGCCTGTTCCACTTGCCATGCTTTCTCCTCATTGCTCTTCAAATATTATCTCCTTGAAGCAGCTGGTTCCAGACGAGGGAGCGCAAGAATGGAAGAGAGCTTGAGAGGAGGAGAGACTGTCCTAAGCTGCAGTACACGCAAAGATGGCCTCACTCTGAACACCAAAACTTTTGGTTTCTGTTATGTTGGAGCATTGTACCAGAGACCTCTGCTGAGACCTAGCAGACCACATCATGTGTAAATACACCTGTATGGTAGAGTATGTATGGCGCATGCTTACTAAAGGAAACACTAAGCAGTTCTGAGAGAGCAGAAGGGAGAGATTAAGCCCAGGGATCTCCCCTGGAATGGATGAGCAGTTTTCCAAAGAGATGGCACCAAGAGGTGGCCTTCCACCTCAAAACACACACATACACACGACTGTCTTTTCTAGCATGAAACAGACCCACCTCTGCTTTTCTCATTCTAGCTGGTTTTGTGTTTCCTTCCCATCTGCTTTTATACATTCTGAAAGAAAGCTAAGTATTATGTTCACCTCCTGGGGGTGGATGGTTCCTTCTCTTGGGCTCTTCCTCCAGTGTTAAGGGGAAAAGGTCTTATGGAGCCCACTCACATGAGCTGCCATCTGCATCTCTTGCCTGGCTATGCCATTGCCTGTCTCAGCCCTTCCCGTAAGAAAGCTGCACACCAAGGCCCCTTCTCCAATCTTCCTCTCTATCCCAGCTTCAAAGTGAGGGGAGGGGAAGATCTTGAGATAGAGATGACAGCTCAGCTTCTCTTCTTTATTGAGGACATTGATGTGAAAGAAGACAGCATTAAAAATGAGCTATGGCTGTATTTTTAGAAGAAAAAAAATCTTTTTGAGCAGTAGGGAGGGGAAGGTATTAATTAGCTTAAAGGCTTTGGTTTCACTCATTCATTCTATCTTCCTTCGAGGCTTAAGAAGATCAACTTTAGGATTTCAAAATAGGACAGTACGCCTTTTAGCGCCCTTATTTTTATTTTAAGAGGGAAGGAAAGAAATGGTCTTCTTTCCTGAATGAGGTTGAGGAATAAGCACTGTTGGTTGGCTGTTGGTGGGGTAAAGAGAGGTGAGGAGTGTTGGCAGTAGTGTGGATGTGCAAAATGTCAGGGAAAAGGGATGGTGGAGACATGCAGGAAATATATTTTTTTCTCTGTATACTAAAATCCACACAGCAGCAATACTCCAGGATTCTCATCTCTGGGGCTTATTACCAGTGAAAGAATGCATTAGGACCTGCCCCCCACCAGTGCTCTTTGGATGTCCCTTGGCTCTGCTGAAACACTCAGATGAAAGAATTCATTCCTGTGACCTTGCCATATACACAGCTGGGGTTAAGTAAACAAAGAGGGGCTGTGGTGAAGGCTGCCCTGTGCTTGCCAGTGCTCCAGGGCAGGGGCCTGCTCAGCTCCAGGTCTGCTAGTTTCTGAGCCTGACCCCTGCACCCAGATCTGCCAACAGACCTGTCTTGGTTGTTTACTTAGCTCTCTGGAGCTGGGCACCAGACTGATGCTTTTACATGCAGTAGAAGATGTATTGATCGGGAACAAACAGGCATAGCCTCAGGGAGGCCCGTGGAAGCAGAAGACTGAAAGATTTGTTAGAAAGCACTGAGTAGAAGTTCAATCTCCCTTCAGACCAGAGAAGCTTTCTCCTATCCAGCTTCCAGGGACAACAAAGATGTTCCACCTTTCTGAGCCAATCCCTTGTAAGGTCTTTGCCCTCGTTATGGGCATACGGCTCCAGGCAGGGCTCAGTCCCTCAGACTCCATCCAGCTGTGAGACATGGCTGCCCTGGTCTGCTGCTAGATGCATCCCAGATGGCACTACGCCATGAGACAGCAACTGTGATCTCACCCAACCCACGTGCAGCTTCATGGGAAAGCTTATAGAATCACCAAATCATGGAGTCACAGATGTTGGGAAAGACCACTAAGGTCGTTACGTGTGGCA